TCACAATATTTTGTTGTGATAAAAACTACTATTTAATTGAAAGGAATATTGTATAATGTGAATATTGTATAATGTCTTACTCAGGTATAAAGATGTAAACAAATCTATGAATTCTAACTTTTGATACTCAAGCTTAAACTTGACTCATTTTTTAATATTAACAAATCGAGATATAAAAATATCATTAAAAATAGTATAAATTTTCGATCATAATGAGTTATTACTCGTTAACTAAATAAATTCAAGCATTAACAATCTTAGAAACGGGTCGTTTCATAGTGTCGTGGTCCCCATCAATCAACACACCAATAGAACCTTCAGAATTTTTTAAAAAAATTATGAAATAATGGCAAAAATAATTTGTCTCAAAGTTATTCCAATATTAATTGTTTGGTGACAATATAAAAACTTGATTGGGGCTCATAGATTAATGAGCACCCAACCCAACGCCCCAAATTAATTAATTAAGTATCAATATTTATTGGGCCTCCCGCACGCCCCAACCCAATCAAATAACCCAAATTTCAAATTCGAAACCCAATTCTCTAATTTGGCGCCTCTCTCTCTCTCTCTCTTGACTGCCTCGCGTCTCCAAAACCCCAATTTGACCAAAAAACCTCGCCTCCATTTTCCATTTTCTTCACCTTTATAAAAACAGCTCATTTTTCTTCTCTCACGCATTTCATTAAACACCTTTTTCTCCTCTGATATTCCTCTTTTCCCTTTTCTTTTACTTTTATTTTTGTTAATCTGTGTTTCCCCTTTTTCCGGCCCAATCATGAGCAGATCCCCGGACTGCGGCCCGGGCTCCGACCCGATTTCCCTAAAGATCAAGTTCCACGACCTGAGCCTCACCAGCAGCCCCAGCGCGGACCTCTGCAGCAGCACGCTGACGGTCTCCGACAACACCAGCGTCGACGCCGCCAAGCAATTTTCGGAGAGCGAGAAGAGCAGCTTCAGCTCGGTGAGTTGCTGCAATGGCGGAGACCGGGACAGGGACGTGGCGAGTGTCAGGAGCGTCTGCCTGTCCAAGCCTCACAAGGGCAACGATGTGCGGTGGGACGCCATACAAGGTGTCCGGGCCCGGGAAATCGGAGGTGGGCCCGCCGGGCTCGGTTTGGGCCATTTCAAGCTACTGAAGAAATTGGGATTTGGGGATATCGGGAGTGTGTACCTGGCGGAACTGAGGGGCACGGGTTGTCTTTTCGCGATGAAGGTGATGGATAAGGGGATGCTGGTGAGTAGGAGGAAAGTGGGCCGGGCTCAGATGGAGAGGGATATTTTGGGAATGTTGGATCACCCTTTTCTGCCTACACTATACTCGCATTTCGAGACCGAGAAGTTTTCTTGCCTACTGATGGAGTTCTGCAGTGGCGGGGATCTCCACTTGCTCAGGCAGCGCCAGCCGGGCAAGCATTTTTCGGAGCAAGCAGCGAGGTAACTTGGTAAATTTGGTTTTTAACTTTTAATGTGTTTAATTTATGGTCTCGTCTCGTGTGTATTTGTTGTTCAAGGCGACTCGGCTGTGTTTAAATTGAGTTTTGTTATTTCGGTAGTTGAAGTTCCAAAAAGATTGTGGATTATGAAAGTGTGATATGGATAGCATTTTTTTCGATTGAAAATTATGGCAATAATCAGATTGGATTAGTGCTGATGGTAATCTTTTCTCGATCGGTTTTGTGTTCATCGTGTAGTTGATATTTCTTTTCTTGGTTTCTTCAATATTGGAAGAGAAAATGTTTTGGAGGAGGGTTTAATTCCGAAAGACTTGTGATGCAGTTAAAGTTTTAATCTTTTTACTAATATAACCGTAACCGAAGTTTAAATCTTTGTATATTTTTTGCTTCTGAGATTTCAATAATAAGATCTACAAGAAATATTTTATTAATAGTATTGAATGTGAATGGTGATGTTACTCTCATCCGGCATTCGTTTTTTTCGAAATTCTGAGTTCTTTCAACTACACATCGATAATTTTACGCCATTCGTCTTATTTTCTTGATTTTGACAGATTCTATGCTTCAGAAGTACTTCTTGCGCTCGAGTACTTACATATGATGGGCGTGGTCTACAGAGACTTGAAACCCGAAAATGTTTTAGTTAGAGACGATGGCCACATTATGCTTTCGGATTTCGATCTATCCCTAAAATGCTACGTAAACCCCACTCTCATCACTTCCAATCACAACCCATCTCTTACAAATTCCTCATATTGCATCCAAACCCCTTGCATCGACCCGAAATGTAAACTGCCCGTTTGCTCCGGGCCCACTTGCTTCCAGCCCACTTGCTTCAAACCCCACATTTTCAACTCGAAAAAAACCATAAAGCCAAAAACCGAACGAGAAACTCCAGTCGAGCTAGTTGCCGAGCCAACTTCAGCTCGATCAATGTCGTTTGTCGGGACCCACGAGTATTTAGCCCCCGAGATTATCAAAGGGGATGGCCATGGCAGCTCGGTTGACTGGTGGACTTTCGGCATCTTCTTGTACGAGTTGCTTCATGGGAAAACGCCGTTTAAAGGTAATGACAATAGAGAGACTTTATTTAATGTTGTGGGACGGTCTCTAAAATTTCCCGAAGGGCCCGCGATTAGTTTCGCGGCGAAGGATTTAATTCGGGGTTTGCTTGCAAAAGACCCTCAAAAGAGGTTGGGATTTAAAAGAGGGGCCACGGAGATAAAACAACACCCGTTTTTCGAGAGCGTGAATTGGGCCCTCGTTCGCAGCACGGGCCCACCTCAGATTCCTAAGCCCGTTGATCTCGAGTCGCTTAATGAGGCTTTGAGGTCGTGTAATCAAAAGGGGGTTAGTGACTTGGGAAGGTCTTCGGGCACGTACTTGGAGTTTGAATTTTTCTAAAACAAAACTGTTTGTGTGTGTTGTTTGTATTGGATTTGGCATTCCTTGGGCAAAGCTAGATTTTCATTTGTTCTTTTTTATTTATTTATTTATTTTACATAATCTTCTTTTTTAAATTGCATAATAGTTTCTTTGCTTTTTTCTCATTCTCGTTTCTCCTAACTGCTCTCTTTAACTTGTTTAGTTCTTTTCAAATGAGAAAGTCCAGCTTTTTTTTTTTCTTGAGGCTTGATCTAAACTAAGAAATATTCGATCTTGCCAAGGGGGTTTATCATCGTACGATCCACACAGACGTAGTTGTGCCTGATCATGTAGTGCTAAAATGTGCTCGATTTCGTTATTATTTGTTGAGTTAAAAAAAAAAAACTTGGAAAAGAAAAAAGCAAGAGGGAAAGAGAGCATGCTTTGTTTAGGTCCATGAGTTTGAAAGAAAAAAGTGTATCTTGAGACTTGAGAGGTTGCTGTCATTAGCTGTTTGTATACAGATATATTGTCAGCCTCATATCACAATTCTCGGTCACTTTTTCTTTTTTTCTTTTTCCCCCTTTTTGTAATTACATTCAACACTTTCCTGCAAATTTTTAACTGTCTTCACAAGAATCTGATCAGACCCTGAAAAATCTTGTTCACTTTATCTTGTGGATTTCTAGAAAGAAATTGATTTAGACAGATGATCAACCCTTTAACTGCAGACTCGAATTTATAATAATTACCAACTGAATGATTCAGGAATGTTTTTATTCTTCTTTGTTTTTGACAGGCATTTTTTTCTTTTTTGTTCTTTTTTCCTTGTGTGAAATGTGCTTTTCAGGAACCTAAAACATTCCTGCCTTTTACTTTCTGCCTTTGCCTCACCGTCAGGATTTTACTTTTCTAGTTGATCTTTGTCTTGTTAGTGGTATGTTGTTTTCTTTTCTCTGGCAAGTTTTGAATTGTGGTTACAAAGGAACCGAGTGGGTGATTGAGTTGAGCTCAAATTTTTTAATAGTTGCTCAAGTTCGACGAGCCAAATTTTTCTAGCCTTTATTAACAAATATATACAAATGATCTGAGTTCTACTTGAATTTTATTGACTCGAACATAGCTCAAGTTTACGGGTGGTTAGGCCAATGCAGCTCAAACTAAGTAGATCGTCGAGCACTCGGTTTTAACTTAAGTAGGGTTTCCATTTTTATAAAAAATAAAAAAACTAACCGAATCAAACCGAATTGATGTGAAGTAAATAAAATAAAAATTGAAATGCAGTTGTTCTTGCTCTAATCGACTCCTCATATGTTGGTATTGTCAATTTTTTATGATAATTTAACCGAAATGAGTTCGATTATTGAAAAGTCACTAACTGAGTGAAAATCAGTTTGGTTTTTATTTCAGTATCTCGTATTGTCGAATATATCATTCTAATTCGATAAATGATTGAAGTTGAATTATTTTTTATTTTTTTGGTAATGAACTTGGATAGGCAAATTTCGTATCCACACAAAACGTCCACACTATAAAAAAATTTACATTTAAAAATTAAATTAAGATGGAAGTATAGTTAATATAAGGATAAGCTCATATCAATGTCTAGAGTTTATAGCTGTAAATGAGTTCGAGTTAAACTAAGTCAAGCCAAACTTGAGCATTTAATAAACCGAGCTTAAACTAACCCCTATTGAAATAATGACCTTTTTATTTGCAAATCAGTGCAAAATATATTTCCTTGGACCCACTTTTGAAAAAAGAGTAACAATTATTCACAAAAAGTAGTTGAATTAAATAAAAATACCTCTAATTTAGTCAATTATAATAAATACACCACAACAATCTTCCAAAACAATACCATGTTTTATGTTCCGAGAAAATTATTAAATTTATATCCATCATCAAAATTCAAAGTTCAAACTTCAAACTTCAAACACAACTTCACAAGACTTCATATGTGATGTGAAGTTTGGTTCTTCTGCCTTTTCTTTTCCTTTTCATTTTCCATTTTTTTTTCTGCTATCAAGAATCTGTCATTATTAATTTATTAGACTTAAACTGTAACCCAACACAATCTCACAAAAGACTTAAAGCTTAATCAAGTCGTGTGCTAAGTAAACAGACTCGAATTTAATTAGTTTATTAAAATTAACAAATCGAATTTGGACTGAAGAACTATAGAATATTATATAAAAATTTAAATTTCCAAGATTTAATTGAATAAATTTTAAATAACCGAGTCGAGCTAACGTACAAACAAATTTTAACTCCATTTAGCTGAATTTCAAAACCCAATTGAATAGTTTGAAGATATTGCATTCCAAAACAACCGAGCGTCCTTGAGAAAAAAATAGGGAAGAAGAGGAGGAAAAAAATTCGATTTGATGGACCCAAGATTCTTGTTCTTGGTTTCGCTGTGTTTGCTTGTTCAATTTTCTCATGGGTACTTTCATTACAGTTTTTATTTGTCTTATTTTCCATTTGTTGTCGAATGTGGATCACGGCCATCTAATTTTTATTTTCGATTGGTTTACATCAGAAAAGAATCGATTTTGAAACTGCCGACTGATGCTGCTTCGCGTTCGTTAGATCCAACACGCGTCACCCAAATATCTTGGACTCCCAGGTTTTATTTTCGTATCCGATTTGATTACAGGCCATTTTTTTCATTTTTCTTTTTTTCTGTTTGTGTGGATTTTGTCAGTTTATGTAATGAAAGTTGATAGGGGTTTTGTTTGATGTTATTTTTTTTGACAGGGCTTTTCTGTATAAAGGGTTCTTGTCTGATACTGAGTGTGATCATCTCATATATTTGGTTAGTGTGTTTGTTTCTTTTTTATTTTTTATTTTTATTTTTATTTTTTGTGTGTGTATCTTCGATTTATATAAAGGGATTGGCTGGTTTTCTTGTGTTTTCCCTTTTGGCTAATGTTAGCTTTCCTTTTTGTTTATGTACATTAAAGATTCATAATGATGTAGACTTGTAGTTCTTATTAATTTGGTGATTACTGTATGTGATTAGGCCAAAGATAAATTGGAGAAGTCTATGGTGGCCGATAATGAATCTGGAAAGAGTATAGAGAGTGAAGTCAGGACGAGTTCAGGCATGTTTCTTGCGAAGGGTCAGGTGAGCAAATAATTCCATAATTAGTTTCAAAATTGTAGCAATTGTTCTTAAAACTTTGATTTTCATAGCATTTGTTTAATGTACCATCTTTTAGACATATTGATTATTAAGGGTTACTATGTAAGTCTGTCTGGTGCAACTGATATGTGGATGATATCAGCATTTTCGACCGGAGATTCTTTATGTTTTCTTTTCGAAACAGAAATTTCATCGATTTATACATCTATAGGACTTAGATTAATTGTGGATGTGAAATTGCATGATTTTGTACTTAGTTTTTGAATTGACTGTGGTTTACTGAACATTGATGTGATTCCTTTTCATTTGTGGAGATATTTGGAATTTCAATCTATGAAGTCCTCTTTTTCGGTAGGCGAGTGATTCTTTACTCTTTTCCAAACTTTTGTTAAGTCCGTAAAAAGAAGGAAAGAAAAAAATAAATTCTTGTTTGTTCAAAATTAAGCTTGCGCACAAATGTTATAATTTCTGATGTACGGGTCTGAACTGTTCAAGGACTTGTGGTTTTGGCTAACTGGTAAGATGTTCTTGGAAGCTCTTGATTGATTTAAGAAAAAAATTATTATATTATGCCGTCTAAGTTGAGTAAGTATTCACTTAAACAGATAACTATGATTTAAAAAGTCATATTATGAGTTTTTCATATAGATTGTTTCTCATTGAAATTGATCATTACTTTACATAATCAGGCTGCGGTTTAATATATTAGTATCTGTGACTCCCACTTTCATGGATTTTGGAAAATGACTGATTTCGGAACAAAGTTGGAAGCTGAGTGAAATTATCACTATCTTTATCTTTTGTTATAATGAATATGAGTAATTTGTTCTCTTCTTTTAGGATGACATAGTTGCTACTATTGAGGCAAGAATTGCTGCATGGACTTTCCTCCCAGTTGGTACATTATAAAACAACTTCTTTGATGTTCTACTCCAAAATTTTCATTTTATCAGAACTTCAAGTCAAATCATTTTTTTTTTTTAATGTGTTAAATTATAGAAAATGGGGAAGCTATGCAAATTCTGCACTATGAGAATGGCCAAAAGTACGAGCCGCATTTCGATTATTTTCACGACAAGGCTAATCAAGAATTGGGGGGTCATCGAGTGGCTACTGTGCTTATGTATTTATCAAATGTTAAGAAAGGTGGAGAAACAGTTTTTCCGGATTCAGAGGTAAGATATAGTTGTTAACTCTCTCTCTCTCTCTCTCTCTCTCGGGCACTTACTATGAATTTTCTTCATTTTTATTGCTTTATGTGCAGGAGAAACAGATAAAGGGCGATGACTGGTCAGATTGTGCTAAACAAGGCTATGCAGGTAGATATTATTCGATACTGTTGCGTGCCAACCTGATTTTTTTTTAAATTGGCAGAAAGAACTAGAATAGTTGTAGTTATTTTACATTTGTGAGAATTATTATTATAAATAAATAGCTTGATACCGGTTTCAGCCAGTTTTTCCATTCTTCATTTGCCACTTAAAAGAAGAGAATATAACCACACACCGGGTTCCCTTGATGTAACTTTGACCTAATCATCAATAAAGAGAGAAAAAAAAAACTAGCTAACTTTTCAATGTAAAAACTACCCTTGAAGTTTGATCCTGTGTTTAAATTTGAAATAAATGAGTTAATTCTAATATTTTTGAAAATGTGAAGGGGTGACCTGATCTGTTTTTCCCGGTTATATATAAGAGAGTAATTTTCGAAACTATATGGCATTTTTTCTTCATAGTTAGCTCTAACCTCATATGTTAACCTCTTGGACATTGAATTTTTGCTGTAATTTTCACCAAATAAAGACCGTTGACGAAATCACGTAAACAAAACTCAAAAAATAACCAAAAAATAAAAAGATAAAAAATACGAACAGCATGTTCTT